GGGGTATTGAACGAAAAACAGAGGACATTTTACGCGAGTGGAAGAAGCGCGCGTCAGGCTAACATTAGAGGGCGCTTTCTTCGTGTATGAGTTTTTGCATTATTTCGCAAAACTATTGCGTTATTTCACAACATTATTGCGTCATTTCGCAATGAAAGAATACATGTACTTTAAAAACCTGGCACAATTGAGCTTCCGTACGAAGACCCTATTTTTCAATTTTTCATATGAAACCATATGTCTTTATATAACAAAGATCAAGTGCAAACGAAGAAGGGATCAACCTTACTGAAGTAGAATACTTTTTAGAATTCTTGATTGCTTTTAAAAACTTGCATTTTCATTGTGGCTATTCAAGATCTTTCTTTGTCTTTCAACTTATTGGCCATTGTTCATGGCATGTTTGCATTTATACTGCTGTATGGCAGAAATCGTGCTTTTGTTTTAAAACTCATCACAGCATTTGACTGATTTTCTGAATGCTTTATAATCACGAGAAAATTTAAAAACAAAGGAAACTTAACAATCGTTTACACTCCAAAAGTCTTTGTTCATGTTGTTTCTAAAACATCTGCATTAAAAGCGTTTATATGTGTGAATTGACAGAGAAATAATTTTTCCTTCGTTGTGTTCATATGCACTTCTACTCTGCAGTCACTGTCCGTTTGAACTTTTACTGTAATCTCGTTATGGTTGGTTTGGTCTTTTCCTAGCACATTTTAAAGAGTGTTCTTTGTATCTTTACTTGAAGACCGTTGCACCCTTTCATATCTCTGTAATGGGCGAGAAATTCTTTTTGAAATGAATATATTTCGTGTTATATTGTAGTTTGTCATATTTGTATTTTATTGCATTTGTTTAAAATTAGATATGTTACAGGCAATTCACCCTTTAGCTGTAAGGTATTTTTAATGTAATAAACCATTAGTAATATAATAATATAATAATGATAATTGATAAAGACAACTTACTTGTATTTTGTGAAGACTTGCCATGTAATTTGACTTTTAAGGTACTTCCATCGAGTCCAAACCCAGGCAAGGGTTTCTTTGTGAAAGTCTTTTCTTTATAAAAAAACTTTTTTAAAACGTAAAGGGCTATATCTGCTTGAAATGAAGTAAATCTGAAATAAGCTGCTACAAAACTAACATCTTGTTTGTTTTTTATGTCATTTGTTTTGTTGTCCCTTTCCTTAGTTTCTTTTGCTTTGTT